TATATTCTTGTTAACTGTAGTATGGCTGTATTTTTGTGTGTACTGTTTGTGTCAGGAAAATAATAAGGTATATTAAAAATCAATTGAAATTTATAACTAGTAGAAAAACTTTGAAAAAATGTTATTATTCAGGATAGAAGTATTCAAAAAGAAATAACATCAACTTGGCAGAGGCTTTAATTGGCTCAGCAACCATGAACCCAATATTGTATTTGGACCAAGCCTAATTCAGGAAGGTCATCTTACAAACACAACTGTTTCAGTGGCACTTCTTATGTTAATATCCTCAGTATGACTCAGCCAGATTTGAACCTTATGATAGGTTAATCATTAATTAAGAGCTTACAAAACTGGGAAAAGATGCTAGCAAGCTAGAGAAACAAGAAACTCTTGTAAATGTTTCTATTTTAAAAGATCAGAATGCTTATAAAATGTACAGCTTGTAGTTTTATTTTCATAATTAAAAAGGGTCTGATGCAAAGAAGTTAAGGGAATATTCCATTAGAGCCCCAATGTCACTCTTTACAGTAAAACAACTGTTCATCTCTCTGGGAAGAGCACTTGATTTTATAGTTAACAGAAAACTATGTTGTAGGTATTAGCACAGCTTTTCTTTGCAAACTCAATATCCTTCAGCATAAATGTAGGTGGGACACTAACTGGGGACTAATTGTGGTGGAGTCAGTGCACTGATTGGAGAAATCAAAAATGAACCTCACCTACGGAACGTGCACACTCCAAGGTCACAATAGCTCCCAAATATCACTCAGAACAGCCAGGACAAAATTCTGCCTGTGCCTCCCTGCTCCCTTAACATCATACAGTAGTTGGTCTGAGAATGATTAAAGGATTGGAAAACATACTATATTGAGCTCCTTTAGTAACAGACTCAAAGAGCGCAATCTGTTTGGTTTAACAAAGAGAAGGGTAAGTGATGACTTGATCACAATTTAAAAGTACTTAGATGGGGAACAGAAATTTAATAACAGAGGGCTCTTTAATTTACCAGAAAAAAGTATAACAAAATCCAATGCCTGGAAGTTGAAGCTAGACGAATTTCAGACCAGAAATAGCACGTAATTTTTAACAGTAAGGTTGATTATCTATTGGGACAATTGCCCAAGGGTTGGAGTAGATTTTCCATCACTGGCAATTTTAAAATCAAGATTGGATGTTTTTCCAAAAGATATGCTCTAGTTCAAACAAGAATTAAGTCAGAGCAGCCCTATGGCCTTCATTATGGAGGAGGTCACACTAGATCACTGACTTTATAATTTGTTAATCTACAATGTGGATGGCTCTCTGGCTCTGAAACCTGTTTTCAGCATCATATTGATTAGTCATGCTGTGAGCAGGTTTAATTGACCTGCTACAGAAAATGACTGCTGGAGCAGGTGGACCATCTAGACTTGACCTGCCAGGGTTGCTAATGCTGGTGTGCAATGGTTAGTGCCCCTGTACAGGTGCAGCTGTGCTGGTGTTAACAGCAGTGGGAATTTTTAGGAAACAATTCCTACCACAGATATGGCTAAAGAACCCTACTGGAGGGTTCCTCTAACAGTTTGTATTCAAGACTATTTTTGGTTCTTACGTTGCACTGATAACCAGGGTATGTGAGCAAAGGTTCCCAGCCATTATTCCATCATGCTAAGGGTCAGGTGAGTTATAAAAACATTTGCTTTCACATGATGGGTGTAACTGCATGTGACGTGTTTATGCAGTTGATATCCTTCTCCTTGGATGTAGGACTTCTCATTTATTAGTACTGATTCTTCCCTGGGTGCCTGCAACTCTCATTGCTCTAATCACTCCAGGTCACTCTGCAGTTTGATTCTGTTCCCCGTGTTTGCTTTTCCTCCAATTTTGGCATCTTCAGTAAATTTGGCCACAGATGAATGTGCACGCACATGCACACACACCAAGAGAGAAGAAGAAGACAGAGACTCTCTAAAAGTCTACGCAGAAACCCAAACAGATATAGGCAAAATTAGCGCATTCCATTCAGGGGGGGACCCTGCTTGAAGACTGACATATGCAGAACTGAAACATTATAGGATAGCAAGACTACCCTGGGTTTCAGTAGTGTATGCTTCACTGTGACAGAAAAGCCTCACAGGACCTTTTGCAAGTATAAGACTCAGAGGGATAGATCAGCGGTTCTCAACCAGGGGTCTGGGGCCCCCTGGAAGGCTGCGAGCAGGTTTCAGGGGGTCTGCCAGAATAAATCAGAGAGCAGAGCTGATGTTAGACTCGCTGGCTGAAAGCCAAAGCCCGAGCAACTTAGCTTTGCAGGGCCCCCTGGGGTGTGGGGCCTTGGGCAATTGCCCTGCTTGGTACGCCCTAATGCTGGCCCTGGCTTTTAATCTTCTGGATATGCAGAAAAACAATTGTGGCACAGGTGGGCCATGGAATTTTTATAGCATGTTTCGGGGGCCTCAGAAAGAGGCCATGGAGTGATTCATTTGTAGATCTGATTCAGGTCGGTACTGACAAAAAGTTGTTGTCATGGTGGTTTGATAGTTTATGTGAAATGAGTTGTTGGCTTCAGCCCAGTTCCTACACAGGTGTCTAGGTTACAAAGGCAGTCATGGGAGTAAGGCAAAGACTGAATTGGCACAGAGTCTTAACTATCACCTGACACTTAAAAGTATTTGGGGGTTCTGAGACCATGAGGAGAACATGGTAGCGCTGCTGCCTGCTTTGAGGAAGGCTTTGGCCTGCAGGGCTGCCAGACAGCCTTCTACAGCCATTAAAATTAACTTTTAAAAAGGAAACTATATATATTGAGAAGACATGCAGAGAAGGGACAAATATATGAAAGATCAGTATCTCTTTTTCTTTAAATATCTGCGCACAAATTTAGTGCAAATGAGAAAAACAAAGGAAGGACCGATAGCCCTGACCTGCGACAGGCGTAGTAAATGCAGCCAATATATTAGTTTCCCTATGCCAGTCTGCCAATATGTTTCACTTTTAGTGCTGCCCTAACACCGCTGCTATTGCAAAGACTGCCAGTCAGCGCACCCAACTGTGTGGTAGTTTTGTGTTGTGGATAAATGGAAATTAAGGTCAGACACCAAACTCATCTCCGTCTGTGTCCAGAGAAGGAATTTAACCAAGAGATGAAAAATTATATGGCCTAATCCAAGTCCCACTGAAATCAGTGGAAAAACTCCCATTACCTTCAGTGGGAGTTGGATTGGGGCCCATAGTTGGTATGTTCTGCTCAGGGATTAAAGTAAGGGAGAGCAGTGGAGCAGCACATCTCCCCTTTCTCTACTAAAAACTGTGTGTGCTCCGTTCCTCCTTGTCTGGTGCTGCTAAAAATATAGAGAGCGCTCCCCCAACTCTGGCTGTGTGGCAAGAGCCTCCTCTTTCAGTTTACTTTCGCCACAAATTCTACTCAGTTCACACATTTGCCCCACTTCTTTTGCAAATAATTGGAGAGAATGGATCACATGCAACAGCTTTTTCTCTGTGACTAAACCTGGCAAGCGTTTTAAAATGAAGTAACAATACCTGTTTTTAAAGAATGCTTTATTTACTACATCCTAGGAATGTACCATAAGTGGAGCAAGAACTAAATAAACTCAGAAGTTTTAAACAATACAAAGAACAGAGATATAGTAAAACACCCAAAATACTAGCACTTCTGAAAATGAGGCACGCTAATATATGTATATATTTTTATATACATATATATTTCTTTGTATAGTTTGTTCTTAACCTAACAGTGTTCACATTTCAAGTCATAAACTTACCTCAGTAGTGTACATGAAATGGTGGAGAAACAGGTATAAAGACAGACCACAGGTGGGAGGCTCAGAGATACCTAACTGACTGTACTACCAACTTTTGGCCCCAGTCTTGCCATTGGAACTGCTAGCACAGACCCCGGAGCCCATGAAGAACCCCAGTCATCAAGGCCATTTGTTTTTAAAGTATCTTGCTGTCTGCCATGTTAGGATATCATCTCCCTCTTTATTTTTGTTGCACATAATATACAGGCATATGTAAAATACAGTAAGAACTCTAGTTGCTGTTTAAACTAAAGACCTTGGAATGGATCATGTCCTCTGCTTCTGCAAGCAGAGGAGACTTGGATCTGGGTGGATCCCTCTTGGTGGGCACAGAAATTTGGGCAGGGGAGTGATGGCTTCAACATTGTCCCTCCCACCATCTCTCCACTGCTGGAGCTTGCCAAGGTTTTGGTGGAGAGGCTGGGATGTGGTGAAACAGGGTATCAACCCACATTTCATTGTATCATCCTCTGCTGACCCAATGGGTTTCTATGCAGCAATCCAGTCAGATGTTGAAGCTGCATGAAGTGGCATTACTCATGCTGGCTCTTATCTATGGCCACTGCTCAGCATGAGATGACTTAACCAAAGGCTGGAGACGTGGGAACCATTTCCCACCTCCGTTGGGCTGGGGTTTCTATTCCCCACTGATTCCCGTGAGAGATTGGTTTTGAAGGCTGCCCATTCCATGCAATCAAGCCCTTGGATAACACTCCAGTTGGGTTGGGCCTAAGGTGTAGGTGCATTTTTGGAAAGGTTGGAACATGTGATAAAACTCTCCGGGGAAGGAGCATTAGGGGCGGAGTCTGATTTAATAGTTAACTTCCTCACCTTACTTCTGATAATAGTTAAATAGCATTAAATATAACAGTGTTGCTGAGTGAAAAACAGTGGCCCAACTTAAGTTGAGAAAGTACATATTAGGTGGTCACTTAATTTAGTTAGATATGATCTGAAATTGTTGTCCATGGGCAAAACATGCCTTTATTGTATGGACCTATAGTTGGTTCTTAAATTAAAAAAGAACGCAAAATTGTTTATTCACTACCCTATTGCACACCACACTTCATTAGAGTTGTCTTGGCAAAGCTGATGCACTTCATAAAGTGAGTGAGCTATTCTTTTGACATTTTACTGTATTTTACATTCACTGCATTACTAAATAAAAGCCTTTAAACAGGCCACAAAACACTGCAATAATATATTTACTTCTTAATAAAACAAACTTTTTAATAACATTGAAATAAAATGTTTTTTGTTTTGTTTTGTGGCAAACCACATACCATGTAAATTAGCAACATAAAATGACTTTAAAAATGTATATTAGAAGATATTTACAAACTCTATTTCTTAAATTCATAGGGCTTTAGTCTCTGTCTTCCCTGATGTGAATGCATAACTCCAATTAATGCTAATGGGAATTAGGTCTGAAAGGGAGAATGGGAAGGAGGCTAGCCCCATTTTATTAAGTACAATATCACTAACACCCCTAGTACCTTAGAAATTTTGCATGAAACATGATGAAGCTACAGGTAAATAATGCAGTACTTCCTGCTGACAAAAGCACATTTGGCCCTGTCTAAAATATCATACATTCTCTGTCACTACAACTTACACGTCAAAAGAATAAAATAAAGAGCATTTAAAAAGAAACTAGGTTTTATACTGGAAGAAGATCTAAGTCAAGATACCTCTCATGAAATATTAGATACCCTGAGCATGTGCTCAGGGACGGACCTAGAAGTGACTTCAATAAATATAAAAGCCAGATGTTATGGAAAACACAGCAGCCTCTTCTTTAGCTAAAACAATTCACTTAATCATGCTTTAAAGAGGTTTGTTTTATGAGTTTGTTTTTTTAAATAGATGTTTGTTGCTTGTGAGTTTTGATAGTGATAAACAAACTGTGCTAATGCCAGCACAAAATGCAGAGGTCTCGCTCATTTTCAAATTGCACTTTCCAGTATAACTTTTTAAATAAGATACTTGTTGTTTTAAACAAAAACAAACAAAAATCTAATGTATGTATTCTTTAAATATTGAAAATATTCTTCAAAATATATTGTTTATACATTTCCTAGCTGCTCAGATGTGCTTTTTTAATATATATATATAGTTGATATATTATTAAAGGCACTACAAAATAGAATTCTCTGGAGTGCAGAAGTTACTAAAAAATAACCTTCATACCACAAATATATTGAAAATATAATTGCTTAAAAAAAACCCACCCAAAAAACCCCCTTTGCAATCCCACTACTGTGTATAAATTTGTATGGGCAATGGGCTTAATGCATATAGGTCACTTAGAAATGTATGAATACGGGTATATTAAATTTTAAAAATATCCTAAAAAATTAGTGACAATGTCACATATATAAAATATTTCAAACACAATATTTGATAACATTCTTCACTTTCAGTTTTTTTGTTTTTTTTTTTTCAGTTTACTGAGTCCAAACATATTCTTTTGCAGTCGGTTCTTTCTTCATAAATAGTAAAGTGTTCCTTCAGTGTTTGTCCCTCTCCCCTCCCCCCCGCCCCCCCTCGTTTGATAGTCTCAGTATGTCTGGTAGACATCATGTATTGGAACCTGGATTGTTGCAGTCGGAAATGCCTGAGGTATATAGCCGGCATATCCTCCATACGCTGCTGCAGCTGCAGCTGCTGCTGCGGCGTTCTTCTGTAGTGTGGCTATAGTTGCTGTTGTTGCAGCAGGAGCTGCAAACGGGACATAACTTGCACCATAAATCCCTGCAGCAGGAATTCTCTGAATATTTGGAGCCATGGTGTACACTGGAGTTATGGGGCGACCCTAGGGACAAAAAATTGGCATTTAACCTTCCAACTCACAGACTTTACTGTCACTAGCAATCTAATCTACTAGGCCGAGTATAATTATTCCACACATTAAAGGATTCACTTCAGTTTTTTACAGTTGAGGAAGGATGGTCTTGTGGTGAAGTCTTAGGCCTGAGAGTTAGGAGATAGTAGATTTGATTCTGCTGGCAAGAATGGGCCTGTCAGGGTAGAGACTGCATGTCATGGGTGATGCGGGGAAGGCAGGCCAGTGAAGCCATGTGCATCACCTGCTCTTCCAGGGGACCTGGAACCAACAAGCACAGGCCAGAAAGTAGGCTGGGCCAATTGTGGAGGGAGGGAGCTAGAGCACAAGGGTGATGTCACTTTTGTCTTTGACTCTGTCTGGCTCCTCAGCTACTATTACGTTACACTTTAACTTCTTGTCTCTGCCTGTATTACTGCCCCTTCCCATTTATCCTCTCTTGTCAAACTTTGTGTTGCCCCTCACCTCCTCCGCTCCACCAGTGTTCCCAGCCTTGTCTGCTCATTTTCAGCTGCCCCAACGGTCACTTTCGTGCCTTCTTCCACATGGCCCTTATGCATAGTTCAACCTCCCCATCCATATATACGTCCCTCTTAAAGATGCATTTCTGCCACATGGCCCATAGTGAATCTAGCTGACTTGTTTACAAAAAGACAGAACTCCCTAAACTCTGTCTACATTTCTGTCTTTTCTTGAGCACTTCAGGGCAGGGACTGTCCCTTCTCGAATGTCTGTAAAGTACCTAGTGCATCCTACATGAACAGATATCTCTCAGGTGGTTTTCGCCAGTAGGGCTTCTGTGGAGTTCCAAAGGTAACTTGAAGCTGCCTTCCTCCACTGCCTGCCTTCACCTAAGGGTCCATTCCCCACTCTGGTACCACTGCCCTAGCTGGTGCAGGAGGTGTCAGTTCTCTCAGCACCCATAGGGGCAAATCAAGTTCCTGGGCTCTGTTCCTCATTGTGACACAGGACAAGTCACTGGGCCTCAATTCTGTAAGATGGGTGTAATAATACTTTTCCTAACTCATTGCTTGTTGTGGGGCTAAATTCATTCATGCTTATGAAACGTCTGAGATTCTTGTATAGAAGGTGCTACTGAAGTGCAAAGTATTAGTAATACCTCCCCTTGCCCCGTTCACCTTCTGAAGTCTCACGACTTGTTTCCAAAGAGCTTTGCAAATCAGTGTTATGGCAAGAAGTTTACTTAGATTGTAAGATCTTTGGGGGCAGGGGACAGTCTTTTTGTTTTGTATTTGTACAGCGCCTGGCCCAGTGGTGTCCTGGCCTGGGACTGGGGCTGCAGGACAAATAAGTAATAATAAAAAGGAAGGAATTTGTTTTGCAAGTGTTACTGTGCCCAAAGAGTCTGTCACAATGTAATTACACAGAGTCACTCTGGAACTGTAGTAGTCTCAGTGTCTTTTTTTTCCCCCACTATTAACAAAATAAATGGAAATGGAACTACAAAAAAAAGTCCCTATGTCAGATCAAAATAAACCCTTACAGATCCAGCCAGTGCCATAGCTTGATGGTGGCCTTCCCAGGAGAGGGTTTCAGGATGGATTCCCATCCTGGTTTCTTGCTCCCTGACTGGACTGGCACTGCTGCAGAGGCAACACCAACAGCCTTTTAGGGAAGCATTTCAGCACTGTCAATAGAGAATAGCCAGTCGGTTATAGGAATGATGCTAGCAGGCTTCAAAGGGTGAGCTATATATTTCTTCTTAGTAGTGACTATGATAATGGCATGTGAAGGTTGGTGTGGCTAGAGCAGTAAAAAACAAAACAAAACACCTCAAGCTGAGAAGGGATTTGGGGTTGTGTCTAGTCCCACATGCACAAAAGTGGCAAAACAGGGTTTTTTTTAAAATGTTATGTAAGTCCAGTTTCCACTTGCTGACCTAAAGACTCCCCAGAATAAGTGCTAAAAGTGCCGTAACTGTATTTTATTCTGTTGAACATGAATTCTCTCATCCTATGTCAGACTTAAGAGCTTTTTACTATTTGCAAAGATCTTCTTAATTATTGCAATTACACATTGCGCTGCTATAGCACCTTCCATTAGAAGATCCCAAAGTGCTTTAGAAACGTTACTGAATTTATTCTCGCAATACTCTGGGGAGATAGGGAAGGGTAATTACCACCGTTTGACAGACTGGGTAAGTGAAGTACAGACTAGTTAAGGTTGCACAGCAACTCTGTAGTAAAGCCAAGGCATGACTACCAAAGTAGTAGTGTTTTAACCACTTTCCTTTTTCTCCGTGGCCAATATGCTTCCCTGCCCTGCGCTAGATGGAACGAAAAAATAAATTCAAATGAAATGGAAAAAGACCCCAAACTGAAGGGGGAGCCAGTGTTTCAAGTGTCTCAACTCTTCCCCCTCCCAAGCCCAAGGAGACCCTAGCATAGCATCAGGGCACACCCGTTCTGGCAGAGGCATGCTGAGGCAGTAGCACAGAACACCCCTTTTGAGATTTAGCTGATCTGGGCGATAGTTCATGTGACTCCTACTTTACCTGTGTGGGGCTAAGCGATTCAGTGCCGTGTGAGACGACTGTCAAGGTAGGGCTGTTTTTTTAGTCTAATAACTCAACAATCTCCCTTTAAACTGTGGCATGGCAAGAGGCCAGGGTTTCAACGTACCAAGGTAAGCTTAGCAAGGACTATGTGCTGAATTTACCTGGAAAGGTGGAGGGGTTGAAACTGCAGGTATAACAGCTCCTGCTGCCGCCGCTGCTGCTGCTGCTGCCGCCGCCGCGCTGGCTGGATCCTGCTGGACAGCAATGGGATTGATCATATGTTCCACTGTGTGGATTTTGCCATCTTCCATCATCTTGGCTGCTGGAGCTGCCTGAAACATGGAGTACTGGGCCCCAATAGCAGGGATTGCCACTAGAACAGACCAAATGCACAAAAACATATTGGAGTTGCGTCCACAGTGCTTTCTTTCCAAGGTAAAGGAAACCTCTCTCGCAAGGTAATTTACACCAGTGGTTCTCAAAGCCGGTCCGCCGCTTGTTCAGGGAAAGCCCCTGGCGGGCCGGACCGGCTTGTTTAACTGCTGTGTCCACAGGTTCGGCCGATCACAGCTCCCACTGGCCGCGATTCGCCGCTCCAGGCCAATGGGGGCTGCGGGAAGCGGCACCTGCGGACGTGGCAGGTAAACAAGCTGGTCCGGCGCGCCAGGGGCTTTCCCTGAACAAGTGGAGGTCCAGTTTTGAGAACCACTGATTTACACCATGCTCATCACTGTGATATACAACATACAAGGTCTTAGGGGTGCTTTCAATTCATTTGTAAATTACTATAAATATTTCAAGGTGTGCTCATAGACTCAGTACTACAATTTTGTATGTACTGCATAGTTTTCAAACACTTTTATCTCAATGGGCTCTTAAAGCAGGACCCTCCCCCTGCGTGAGGGTCACACTGAAAACTTGCCAGGAAACTGGAAGGCTACATCAAATTTACAGAAATCTGTTCAGATTACAGTTGTCCTCATTTAGTGGCCTAAGGAGATAAGTTGGAGCATGCAGTGCTCCATCTTGATCTTAGTTACTGCCTCTGAGATCAAGGTGGGAGTATTGCATGTTGGGACCTGAAGTTTCCATAGGCAGAATTGCTGTATGAAAAGAAGAGTGTGATCTGTATTGTGTAACTTTGTGGGTAGCTGTTGGCCTATAGGCTTCACTTTGGCCAACTCTGCACTATAGTTACTTACTATAGTGTATTTTTCTGGCTTAACTTAGCTGCACAAATTTCATCACATCTTTCTACTTGACTCTGGTCTCAGCTTATTTATTTAATCTAAAAAAAAATCTTACACCTTTCTTCTCATGTCAAAAAGCAGGTAACTTGCAATAAATAGAAGAACAAGGGGAAAGAGCTATGAACAGTGAGAGTTATACATGCAAGGCCTGTGAGTCTGTACCCATTTCTGAATGGAGTTTGGGTGCATTGCTTAGGAAGCAAATTTGTCCTGCTGAAAATCTCCAGCAATCACATGTGTGATTCTGTGTGTTCCTCAAAATTTACAGTCAGTTTTTGATTAATTAACCTTTCAACAATAAATTTATAGATAACTGAGTGACTACTTATAATTACAGATAGCTCGAGGAGGTGATGTTTGGATTGGGATCTGAATTAGCTTTAGGCAACAGATCAGGTCTGAAGCCAAATCAAGGTTTGGTTTCAATGGTGTTGAAATCTTGCAAGAGTTTATTCCAAACTGGCAGAAATCATGAGAGATCAGCTGTTCTGTTTTCCACCATTTTGGTTTAAAAAAACAACAACCCAACTTCACAAGAATACCTCTTTTTATAAGATTTTGACCACACATTAACAGGGATCAGAAATTAGCCCTTTCCATTTAGAACTGGATCTGGAACCAGTACCACAGAGGCAGGTTTGGATCTAGGGATTTGAATCCAAACCTTCCTAAAATCTGGAAATATGTGAACTCAGGAGTCTGCTTTTGGCCTATCTTTGGAGTTCTAATAAATTAGACAGATACCGTCAATAAATATTTACTAGGTAAGAAGATAGTGTGTATATCAAAAATCATTTTTCAAGTAATCTTTAGAAATACCTGAAACTCCTAAGATGTATTCACAATTATGAAGGGTGGGGACGCTCCCTCTGAGAACTGACATTTTGCCCAGAGAGTCTGAGGATATAGGTTAATTTATCTCAAATCTTTCTTTGAAAACAGACCTCATCTTTGAAAATCATCTACTTTTGTCATGCAAATACTAAGCTGAATGCCTCTTTTCTCAAACTACATCATCAAACTGTCAAGATGGCATCTTCCTTTAGGAGTGTTCATCTTTTTTTATTTTATTTAAGGTAAGTGCATATCTTAAAAGTGATTTCCACTTATTTGTAATTGATTATTAGAGAATTTCATAATGTTACAACTACAATCAAGTACATTTTTACTGTAACATCAGTGGTGTTTTATTAGTAGTATGTCTGTTACAGTTCAGATTACACTGTAGGGAAAGTGCATGATTACTTTTTTCAGTGGCTCACCCTGGTCACTTGAATGCAGATTCTACCTCATAATAGTTAGCCCAAACAGAAATCTATTCAACCAGGGTCTTGCGGACTTCCACAACTTCATTCTAGCCACTACCATTTTCTCCTATAAACACCAAGGGCTAGATTCTCAGCTGCACCCAGCTTCCACAGGATGTTGCGAAGGGGGTGGTGGAAAGGAACTAGTTGCTGTTCCCTGATCCTGAGGCTGGTTCTCCACTAGCCCCAGTGTAACTTAGAACAGCCTAGAGGCTGTCCTAAAGTTTGTCGGCTAGTAATAGCACCTAAGGGGCTATCTGCTAGCCAGGAATTGCTGGAGCACTGTGTGATCTGGCCATCCCGTTCCTGCTCTACCATAATCCTAAACTGGAGGCTCCAGGACAGTGGCATAGAAACCAGAGCTGCCAGCTCCGTGCCAGCTGGGGACTCTCCCACACCAAGGAAATCCTCACATAGGGAGATCTGCCTGCTTCCCAACCCCTTTGTCTTCTAGATGTCTATATTCCTGGGGCCAAGTCACCCCGATGTAGTCACTTAACATCAAAGGAGATAAACAGGGAGCAATGTGACCCCTAGTCTTCATTCTCTAGCAAACAGAGCAGCAGGCTCTGAAACCAGCAGCTGTGTTGCTATACGGTTAGACCCAGAGAGGACACCTAGGTGTGGGACTATCTTGTTCCTTTGGCCTGTGGAGTCCACACAAGTGATCATTGCTAGTAACCTTCAGTGAGTGGTGCCGGAGAATGCATTTGCTGCCTCACATTTGTAGAGAGGATAGTGATTGTCAGATTTTAATAGAACGATTGGCCAAACTCAGCAGGAAGAATACAGACCTACTGGTCCCAGCCACAAAAATATCCTAAGTATCACCAAAGCTGGTTGGGTGGGGTGTTAATTTACCCAAACCAATCTGAATCTAAAAAAGTTCAAGCTCAGTTCAAAGAACGGGCTGAATTTCAAGCCTCTTTATTCTCCCCACCCACCTCCCAACAGGTTTGCCCAACCTAGTAATTATACTAACCTGCACCAGGTTTAATGGCAACTGGATTGACAGCAGACAACTCCAAATTGGGTACAAGCTCATATCCTTTTTCTTGCTGTTTTCCTTTCCCTTCGTGGTATCTGCTATATATGCCACGGCCTGCAGAATATCCCCCCAGATAAGAGCCTCTGGGGCCAGGGGCTCTGTTGCCAGCTGCACCTCGCCCTCTGCCTCTTATGCTGCCTGCTTATAATAACAACATAACAAAATAAGGATGAATAACACAGTAACAGCAATGGGGGAAATATTTAACACCCCCACATACAGGCATTCGGATAGTAATAAGCTAGCTGAAGTTAGAATAGCTGAATTTGAATGACTCTGTTCTTGAAAACAAAGGGAATCTTGCTTGAATCAGGAATGCACAAGCAGACAATGCATTTTCTGGTGTTCATGGTACTTTTCGTTGCACGACTAGCTTATAGTGGTATAGTTCAGACTTCGGTGTTCTCTGGAATTTATTAGTAATGTTGAAATAATAATAATTTATATCCACAATTTTGCAAATGTTACTATGGTGCTTTTGGTCATGTGATGTAGTGATAGTTTTATGGCAGATTGTTTGGGTATTCAGACCAGGGGTGATGGAATTTTCCTAAAAGGAGAGGGGGTGGGGGCATGAGGCCCCTCCTCTTCCCCCCAAAGCCCTGCCCCCTGGCCAAGCCAGAAACCAGACCCAGGCCGGGGAACCTGGGCCTCTCCACCTGCCCAGGGTGGGGAGCCCTAGAGCAGCCCCCAGCCCATGTCCCCGCCTCCTGAGCCTCCCTCTGAGGACAGATGGAGGGTCCACAGCTCCCTACAGCTGCACGCATGGCTCTTACCCTGACTTGGCTCTGGCTTCTGGCCTGGCCTGGGGACAGGGCCTGGGGGGGCCAATGAGCTACAGGCAAGCCATGGTAAGAGCCACCCGGGCAGCTGTGGGGAGCTGCAGACCCTCCATTTGCCCTGGGCAGGGGACCTGAGGGTCAGGGACATGGGCTGGAGGCTGCTTTCGGGGCCCTCCACCTTGGGCCAGTGGATGGTCTGTAGCTCCCTACAGCTGCCCAGGCTCCCCGGGCTGGGCTCCAGCTTCCGGCCTGGCCAGTGCTGAGGCCTTGGTGGGTGGGGGGGAAGAGAGGAGAGGCAGGGGGCTGGGTCCATGGCAAAAAGTGGGAGGGCCAGACCCATCCACTTTCAAAAGTGGGAGGGCCATGGCCCCTTGCCCACCCCCTGTTCTGGTGCCTCTGATTCAGACATCCAATTAACTGATTCCTATTCCTGCAGAAATAGTTGCAGATATCAATCGGGAGATTGAGTTGAGGCTGGAACTTTTGACCAGTTAGGGTTTACAAATATTTCTGTATTTATATAGGTGGTAAAAGAATAAGATCATGCTTATTGTTAAACTGAACTTGGCTGGGAAATACATTTTCAGTAAATTATATTCTCTGTAATGGCAGTACAAAACCACTTGCAATTACAAATGTCAGTTATAATTGTTGCAATTTAAGCCTGAATGATTAATTTTTTTGTTAATTTTTAATATATAGAATTCAATAACAATTAAATTCCAATAGTAAGAGCAATATGTCTAACTTATATAGTACCGTTCATCAACAGATCTCAAAGCTTTTCGTAAAGGAGGGTACAGTATGATCAGTTTTTTACAGATGCAGTAACTGAGGCATAGAGAGTTTATGGCTAAGGTTTTCAAAGGCATCCTGTAATTTTGGATGCCTATTTTGAGATACCTAGGATCTGATTTTTTCAGAGCACCCAGCGCTGTAGCTGAAGCCAAAGGGAGGTGCAGATGTACAACACTTTGGATAATTATACTCAAGAAGTCTGGTACTTAAACTATAGAAAACTTCTGTTACTTGCCCAGGGTAATACAACAGTAATAGAAGTTAGATCTCCTGATTCCCAATCCTGTGTTCTGTCCACTAGTGCACCCCTACCTTACACCTGTCTGCATATTAGAAAGGCATTGTCAAAAGAAAAATATCTTCAATATACTAGCATTAATAAAGTAAGACTGAGTATAATTATGACGAACTGTGCTGCAAAGGTAAGTTAAGAAAAATATAAAATGTGTCATCTGTTACCTTTTAAGACAGATTCATGCCTCCTCACCCCCTTGAAAGCAAAGCTGGCAATAATGCCCCCAAATTAGATTATGTTCAACTGTGCTTACTAACCTTTCACAAAGTAATCTCGGTTGGGACCGATCAGAGCATTGTATGGATATCCATAATATGCTAGTGTATACGGATCACAAGAGTAAACATAATTGGGTTGCTGAGTTACTTCTGTTGCTGCTGCTGCTGCTGCTCCTCCTTTAGCTGCTTTCTGATAACGAGTGTACTGCTCTTTGTCTACTGGTTTGGCCAAGGTAACTTCCAGGCATGAGCCTTCAAGTTCAGTGCCATTGAGGTTGTTCATGGCATGAACTGCATCTTCCCTGCTTGTAAAGTGCACAAAGGCATAATCGCGTATTTTTTTAACCCGTTCTACACAGCCAGGGTTAAACTGGCCAAAGATCTTTTTAATTGTATCCTCCGTGGTTTCAATCATTAAATTCCTCACATACAGGATTTTAACAGTCTCCATTACATCTTCATCAACATCTATCTCTGGTTCTGCCCAATCAACAGCAATTTGGTGGCCCCACAGTTGGATTCTCCCAGGCATCAGCTTTCTCCTGGCCATGGCGGCCGCTCGATGGCTTTCATACTCCACAAAGGCGAAGCCTCTATTTTTCATCTTGTCTGCTGCACTTGCATACACAATGACGTCTAGCACGCCCTCTGTCACCTTGGAGATCTCTTCTAGTATTTCCTCTCTCTTCTTCATCTTGGGTATACCTCCAATGAACAGTCTACAGTTATCCACACTGCAGCAAACACCTAGAAGCCTACCAGGACGGATTTCGTAGTTGTTCAGTTCTCTGACAGCACGTTTGGCTTCATGCTTGTGTGTGTACATAACAAAAGCGTAGCCGCGGTTTTTCCCATCAAAGTCCATCATCAGGCGCATTTCATAGATACGTCCTACGGACTCAAACACAGGCACTAGCTCGTCTTCGTACACATCGCGAGGAATTTTACCAACAAAGACTTCACAGCCACGAGGAGGGTGCAACCCCTCCCAGCCAGGTGGAGGCCCACCGTACTTGCGCTGCCCGTTCTCTTGAATCATGGTATATCCAGTACGCTCCATGAGTGCCAACAGGGCAGCCTCATTAGGTGCACCAGCTACACCTTCAGGAACTTTGGTTGTAGACATGTTGGAGGAGTCGTTACTCATCCTAGCAGTGGAATCCTCAGCTGTCATTATGTCAAAATCATTCAAAGTGTGATGAAACCTAAACAAAGAGAGGGGAAAGGAGGACATTAATTATCTACTGTTAACATGACAGGAATCTGACTTTTTTCTGCAGTTTATGTTCAAGTTCATTTTTCAAGAACGAGGTGAATATTAAATACAAAACATAAAAATTAAATAGCAAAATATACTCTCCTGCATGCGGTGGATACCTGGCCCAGGAAACTCCCTGAGATGAGTTTCCTTCAAATCTTCCCTTCGTATGAGAGAATCTAAATGGGGTTATGGAGGAAGGTGGTGGTCCAACTTCCCATGAGCTATGCAGCTCTTGTTCTTGCACCCTAAGTCTGTGCAAAACTCCACTCTGAGGTGAGTATAGGCATGTAACCTGGGTAAATGCTGCTTCAAGTAGTGTTACTTGGGCTATGTCTACATGAGAGCTTACGGCAGCTCAGCTGTACCAATGCAGCTGTGCTGCTCTAAGATCTCTCATGTAGCTGCTCTATGCTGGCGGGAGAGAGCTTTCCCATCAACATAATTAAATCACCCCCCATGAGCGGCAGTAGCTATGTCAGCAGGAGAAGCTGGTATAACTTATATGCTCAGGTGTTTTTTTCCCACACCCCTAATACTGCATGCAGTATTCTAGTATCTGTCTCACCAATGCCATCTACAGAGGTAAAAACACCTCACAGCTCCCCTGTTTATACATCCAACCATCACATTAGCTTTTCTTGCCACAGCACTTCACAGGGAGCTCATATGAGCTGTTTGTCCCCTATGACCCTTAAATCCTTTTCAGTCACTACATTCTAGGATATTGTCCCCCATTATGTAGGTATGGCCTGCATCCTTTGCTCTTGGATGTACCCCTTGTATCTGGCCCCATTAAAACACATTTTGTTTGAATTGGACCAGCTTATGAAGTGATCCAGATCGCTCTGTATGACTGCTCTGTCCTCATCATTATTTATCTTTCTGCCAAACTTTGTCGTCTGCCAGTTTGTATTCCAGATCATTGATGAAAATACCGAGTAGCGTTAGGTGTAGTACTGATCCCTGCAGAACATCACTAGAAACACCCCCATTCAGTGATGACTGTTTGACAAGATCTGTTTTCCGTAAAATTGGTTGAAGTCCAAGCATGGACAGATTGGTCTAGTTAGTAGATTTTAGTCAGTCTGATGTAGTTCTTCCGGGACAATATGTATGCCAGGTCTTTATGCTTGTGTGTTCAGAGCTGAGTACTTCTGTAAAATGGAGGAAGCATGTAAAAATCTCATTTTATAGGACAGGGGTTCTGAAAAGAGGCTGTAAGTGTTGCTACCACTGAAAGCTAGTGGAGATTCTCTTGCATATAGGGCAAATGTTGCACTCCACGGGTACATACTGCCCAAGAGGCAGTGGAACTAAGGGGGTTTAGATGTGCCGAGAGAGGGTGTGAAGTAGAAGTCTAGGTCACAGGTGCCACAGAGCAACTCCTTGGGGGCCTGTGTATCCTGGGAGATGAAAGGGAGGGTTCGTCTCTGAACAGGTCTGATGCAATGGAAAGGATGTAACTCATGACCAATAACAGTTTCATCTGAAAAGGGGAATCTTCAGTAGCTTTCAATAGTAGTAGCAGATAAATAATCTTTGAGCAACTCTAGTCACCAGAGCCAGAGACCATTATGTGCTCTATAACTGATGTCACTTTTAAAAACAAGTTTCAAAACCTGCCTGTGTGACCTTTCATATCTTTTGTTGTCCTTGTTTGAAGCAGAAATATTCCTTATCTAAACATCAGCACTCTTCACAAGAAAAAGAAGTGGAAGGTAGAGCAGTGGGTGCATGTTAGAGGGTTAGAGAGAGGGAAATTTGTAGGTAGTTCCTTTCTTTTCATGAGATCTCATTAAGAAATTTGATTTTTTTTCCCCTCAAGAATTCTAAAAATCAGTTATTTCACTCTTTGGACAGGGAATTTTCCTTAAGTTTGCAATAAAGCCTCAGGATATGTGTACAAATTCAGTGTCACAGTGATATGGCCATACTTTCTATAGCTGTTCCTGGAATCACTTATCCACTGCTAGTAATACATACATTTTAGTCAGAGTACCTCAAGACACTGTGAGAAGTAACTTCTTAGAACAGTACTTACAAATAAAATAAGGCTCATGACACCGAATGTAAACTTAGACTGTTGGTACCTAACCCACTTGATGTATGGGTATGGGGAATGTAATATACCAACGTGTGCATGTAGTTGTTCAAGTTAGAGTGGGTTGAAAATTTTCGGATGGAATATTTTCCTGTTGGAAAATGCTGTTTCATCAAAATTGATGCATTCTTTGGGAGTGTGTCAATTTTGATGAAATTTCATGTAGAAATTTAAAAAAAAATTTTTTTAACAAGATTGGAGCATTCCATTTTGACAATATAGGAGGGGAACATTTTGATATTTTTTTTGTTTCAAAACAACTGTTTCAAAATTTATTTTATAAAAACAATTTTAAAAAATGAAAATAAAACTTCTCAATGTTATCAAAACGCAATGTTTTGATCTGAAATGCTGACAGAAGCACACTTCTGATGGCATAGCTACTTGTGCACTGGGGTTTTGTAGGCATAGCTATGTCGGTCAAGACAGAGTACAGTTTTTTTACACTCCTGATTGATATAGCAATGCCAGTACAAGCTTTAAGTGTATACCAAGCCTTAATGTTCTAACTTTTTCTGTCTCTGTTCCTTTTTTTTTTTTCATGTCTCTTTTCTCTATCCTGAGTATTTTTTCAGATTCTCTTCCTGTCTGTTCCACTCCACTTCTTTCACCAGTCTCTCTCTCCCTTTGTTTCTCCATGTTCTCCCGCTATTTCCCTCCAAGATCTTTCCCTACTCTGCTTCTTCCATTTCCACATGTTCTTTCTCATCCATAGCTAGCCACCAATGCTGTACTAGAACATGACTCCTTGTGGGCTCCCAGTTGTTACTGCAGTGCCACAGAGTGCAGAGACCAGAACTGTTTAGAGACCTCAATTTGGCCCACATAATCTATTTTACTTTGCCTGCTGCATAACACAACAGAAATCTTCACAAAGTTCAGGTAAAATTTCTCTTGGACAAAAAAACATACAGTGCATGTTTTCAGGGCATTCTTAGTTTTATTGTTACTGCCTTTTCATACGTTAGATTGTTTTTTCAAAGGTGAGTGGGCAAGACTTTATAGCAACCAATCTCATGCACAATATTAATTTTAAAATGTCTTTCTGAACAGTACAGAACCATGTGTGCATTTTGTTAGTATATAATAAACTAGCGATTGAAACTTAAATCTGTTACCATGCAAACTGTATCTCTGCAGTGTGAGAGCTAATAGTGCACACATTTAGTAGGCTTGATTGAGTCAAAGATGATTTCCTTATTTCCATTAAGAATGACTAATACGGGGAAAACCAGAAAATATATATTTACACTTTGAAGCACAGGGTCTTATGATACATAAGAGCTCAATTCCTCATCTAGGATATCCAAAGAGGAGGTTGCACCAGCTTCACAATGACACAGGATCATATGAAGAAAAGGCCATTCCTAATCTAAACTGCTGTGAAAATGAGACTGCAGGAGTTAACAAGTGTTATGTGACTAATTATGTGGGAATGGATTAAAATTGTGGTTGCTATAGTTACCATTGTAGTGCAGGCACAATGTCGGAAATACTGAGGAATTTTAAAAAACACAATAAAAAGCATGTACACGCACGGATTAAAAATTGGAATATATTTAAGGAATAATATCCATCCATCTATCTCCCTACTCATATTGTTCCCATCATCATAGTATATAAGCACCTCACAAATATTAATGGATGACTTTCTCCTCACAGCATTCCTGTGTGGTAGGGAAGTATTTATTCCATTGTGGAAGACGGGGAACTGAAGCACGGAAATATCGTGTAACTTGCCCAAGGCCACACAAGAAGTCTGTGGCAGAGTCAGGAGCTGAAGCCAGATCTCAAGAGTCTTACTGCAGTGCCTTAACCTCAAGACCATCTTTGAAAATCATTTGTTTAATATCTGCACATACACGGTATTTATGATATACAGTGTGACTCTATTTTTCTTTTTATGCCTCCCCCCTCATCCTCTCTCCCATTAAATGTTTAACAATTTATGTTCCAAAAACCAAACCCAGTTTGGGCTACCTTTAAGGGCTGCTGGTTGAGCTCCTCAGGGGTTTGCAGGAATCTCAGTTTAAATCCCCTATCCTGGCCTCTCACTGCCCAGGTGAGCAGGAACTGGGGGTTCAGGAGAAACAGTTCACTTGGCCCTTGGGATACAAGATAGATTTCCTTTGCTCATCAGCAACCCCTCTGGTTGATTATCTGTCTAATCTGCATAGACATTTGTACCTCAGTCATTACCATGGATTCTAAATGTCTAAAGATTAAGGCCATGTCTACACTGCGCACCTTACAATGGCGCTGTTGTAAGGTGCATACTGTAGCCACTCTTTGTTGTCAGGAGAACTTTCTTCCAGCAACCAGATAAAACTACCCCCAATTAGGGGTGGTAACTTCATCTCCTGCTGACCAAGTGCTGTCCACACCAGTGCTTTTAGTCATTAAAATTTTTGTGGTTCAGGGGTGTGTGTTTTTTTTCACACCACTGAGCAACAAAAGTTTTGATGACGAAAGTGTCAGTGTAGACAAAGCCTAAGAAATATCCTGGGACCAACATGGCTACAACAACACTCCAGACAACAATTAAAGAGTAAGAAACATTGTTGTAGAGCTCTCAAAGGATTCTCGTGTGATCCTCTTTGGACGAAAGGATGTAGGGCTGCCAACCCTTCAGGATTCTTCAGGAGTCTCCAGGAACTGAAGATGAATCTTTATTTAAAGATTGTCATGTGATGAAACCTCCAGCGACATGTGCAAGCAGAGCTGGCTGGCTCAAGGGTAGGATGGATATAAAACTGCGTAAAGTGGGTCCTCAGTGATGTGATGGAGTGGACGGGAAAGAAAGTGATTGTGCCTAGAAGACAGGAAAACTTCTGAGATATCTT